CGCTCTCTCACATATTTATATATATATATATATATATGGTACGGAAGAAAAAACAATCAGAATAGTTGTAGGGTTATAGAGCTATAGGGCTAAAAGGCTATTGGGCTATAGGTCTTTAGGGCTATAAAGCTAGAAGGCTATAAGGCTATAGGTCCATAAGGGCTATAGGGCTATAAGGCTATGGGGCTATAGGACTATAGGGCTGCAGGGCTACAGGGCTATAGGATTAAAGGGATAGAGGGCTATAGTGCGATTAGGGCTATAGTGCTATTAGCGCTATAGGGCTATGAGGGCTATAGGGCTATAGGTCTACAAGCCTCTAAGGTTATAGGGCTACAGGACTATAGGGCTACTGGGCACTTGGGCTCCCGGGCACCCAGACGCCATACATAATTCTGTATATATATATATATATATATATATATATATCCATATACAATGCAAGACTGCATTGGCGTTTCGCGCCATGCACATTGTTCCTTTTAGTTTCGAATGCAGGCGGCGTGCGTGCGCATGGACATGGGGCGGGCCACCGCCAAGTCGGAACGGGTGAGAAGTTCCTGAGCGGGAGCGACCGGACAACACCAGCTGAGGCCATCTCAGGCCGTTTCGGGGCCCAGAGGCGCGAATATGTTTCAGGCGAGTGGTTGGACTAGAATGAAGCAGGGCATCCTCGACGTTTTTCTCCTCTTCCCAATTTTCCTCCTCTCTCTCCTCCTCATCCTCATCCTCTTTCTCCTCTCTCCCCTCTTCCTCTAATTCCTCCTCATCCTTCTCCTCTACCTCCTTCTCCTCCTCCTCCTCCTCCTCCTCCTCCTCTTCCTCCTCCTCCTCCTCCTCCTCCTCCTCCTCCTCCTCCTCCTCCTCTTCCTCCACCTCCTACAGAACATGCTATTTTCGGCATGCGCGCTGCTGGGCTACCGGTTTCGAGCCCCGAAGAGGCCCAAGGCTGGCCCAAGAAGGCGTCAAGAATTGAAATTCAATGGAAACCCATTGGAAAAGCAATGTTTTTGGCCTCCTCGCCTTTTCGCTTACGAGCGGCTTTTGAGGCGTCAAGATAGCCCCAGGACAGCTCCAACTGAGTCCCCATACGAGCCCCAGAGAGGCCCAAGGCTGGCTAAACAGGGCCCGGAGAGTCGGAAATCAGAGAAAGCTAATTGGAAAAGCAATGTGCTCGGCCTTTTCGTTTTTTCCTTTCCGGTTGGTTCGAGAGGCGTCAAGATGACCCCAGGATGGCCTCAGAGAGGCGTAAGCAAAGGCCCATAGAGGCCCAAGGCTGGCCGAAGAGGGCCCAAAGAATTGGAAATCCGTGGCAATCCATTGGGAAATCCATGTGTTTGGTTTTCTCGCCTTGTCGTTTCCGATTGGTTCTTGAGGCATCAAGATAGGCCCAGGACGGCTCCAAATGAGTCCCCAGACGAGCCCCAAAGAGGGAACACATTGGCCCTAAATCAATGGAAAACCATGGGGGAATCAATGCTTTTGGCCGTCGCGGATGGAGGACCGGTCATTTTCAAATGTGGTTCTCGCTTCAGAGCCGCGCACACTTGCATGGAAGAGTTGCAACAGCTTCTCGGATGGAGGACGGGTCGTTTTGAAAATGTCGTTATCGCGGCAGCGCCACGCGCATCCGTCTTGAAGTTTACAACAGTTTCCAGGATTCGTACGATTGAAGTCCCAGGCATTGTGCTCTGACACGATTTGGGATTGGCAGGACGCCACCGTCACGCTGATTCTCGGTGGTGAAGTCCTCGGAATGTTTTTCTGGCACGGTTTTGCGTTGTCAGCAGGGCGAAACTGTCACGTTGATCCGCGGCGTTGGACTCCCAGGAATTTTCTTGGCACGATTGAGGGTTCAGAAGACAGAAGTCTTCTGGCGGACCGCTTCCCGCACTGAAGAGGGATCTATGAAGAGGGAACTTGGAGAGGATTTATGGCAACATCGTTGATGCGTCGTGGGTTTTCACTGATCCTCCTCCTACTTCTCCTCCTCCTCCTCCCTCTCCCCCTCCACCTCCTCCTCCTCCTCCTCCTCCTCTTCCTCCTCCTCCTCCTCCTCATCCTCCTCCTCCCTCTCCCCCTCCACCTTCTCCTCCTCCTCCTCCTCCTCCCCCCCTCCTCCTCCTCCTCCTCCTCCTCCTCCTCCTCCTCCTCCTCCTCTTCCTCCTCCTCCTCCTCCTGAATGGAGGAGATAGTTTCCCTCTCGCCCCCTTCCCCTCCGCAGGCGCCCGCGTCGGCACCGCCGGGGGACCAGGCGCCGGGGCGCCGAAGCCGTAGCACCCCCAGAGCGGAGCGGCGGGGGTGACGACAACGGTGACGACGACGACGACGACGACGACGACGACGACGACGACGACGACGACGAGAATGACGATGACGATGACGATGGCGAGGACGACGACGACGACGACGACGACGGCGACGACCACGACGATAACGATGACGGCAACGTTAACGATAAAGATGACGACGATGACAACGATGACAACGACGACGATGACGAGGATGACGACGATGACGACGACGAGGAAGATAAGGATGACGACGATGACTACAATGACAGTGGCGACGATGACGAGGACTACGACAGTGACGACACAGTCGTCGTCATCGCTTTCACCGTCGTCGTCGTCATCGTCGTGCGGTGGACAACGGCATCCTGGAACTTGCCCGCTGCTCAGAACGTGCGAAGGAGTCTAAACCTACTCAGCGACCTGTGGCAGCACCAGCCCGACATCGGCCAGACCAAAGCATTGCACATCGTCGACCTCTTCGACTGCATCGTCTGTTTTCGGAACAGCTTCGACAGGGTACACCACCAACCGAGGAGCTCAAGACAAAGCACTTCTCGAGTCAACCGATGAGGTCAAGGCTGTGGGCATCCCCGCGTACGCGGACGCATTGCAGTGGATCAGCTCTGCGATCACCGAAGGGAATGCTAAGCTCCAGCGGGCTATTCGACGCTCTTGGCACGAGAAAAGTTTGCAAAGTGGTCTGCAGAGACCTGGCACGCAGCTACTCCAATGTTCAAGCAAGTCTTGGCCTCACCAAGTTGTGGGTTTACCGACGTGCGTTAGCAGTGGGAAGCTCAATGGCGACCTCCTCCTGATCAGCATGACACTCCTGATTGTCTTCACCGATGGCAACAACATACCGCAGCAGCCAACGTTCCACAATCAGGCAAACCTGATGACTGGGCTCCGCCCGATGCCGAATTCGATGGCGCTGTCAAGAACTTCAAAGGTTGTTTGCGAAGATGTGCCCACACCTTGTTCAAGAGTTGTACGATCTATGTGTGGATACCCACTTTGACCGTCTTGAAGCTGTCCTCTCCGCTGCTCGTGCAATCATCCCACCCTCCCACCTGCAACTTGGTCGCAAGACATCTTAAGGCAAGACCGTGACGGTAGGTACCACATGGCATTTGGCCACGACGCCGACGACGACAGCGACAACGACGACGACAGCGCCGCCGACACCGACTACGACGACACCGACAACGTCTCCAACGACTTCGACGACGACAACGTCTCCACCGACGACGACGCCGACGACGATGACGACGACGACGCCGACGCCGACGCCGACGACGCCGACGACGACGACGAAGCCAACGACGACGACGACGACAACGACGTCGCCAACGAAGACGACGACGAGGGAGGAGGGAGGACGACGACGGCGACAACGACGACAACGACAACAACGACGAGGGAGGAGGGAGGACGGCGACGACGCGAACGACGAAGAAGGAGGAAGGACGGCGACGCCGACGACGACAACGACGAGGGAGGAGGGAAGACGCGACGAGACAACGACGACGACGACGACGACGACGGCGACGAAATAGGAGGGACGACGACGAGACGCCGACGACGGACGACGACGACGAGGGAGGAGGAGGAAGGACGACCACGGCGACAACGACGACGGAAACGACCACGACGCCAAAGAGGACGACGACGACGACGACGAACACGAGGAAAGACAGAGGACGACGTAGGCGAAGACGACGACGACGACGCGGGAGGAGGGAGAACGGCGACGACGACGACGACGACGACGACGACGACGACGCAAGAGCGCGCGCGCTCGCTTTCGTCGAAAATCCGTGTTGCGAAACCTCATGTTTTTGTATGTTTTTTTGGACACACGATTTTGAAATCCTTCCGAGGCCGATGGGTTTTGAAGGATTTCGGCGTACGCGCGCGACCACGCGCGCGTCTGCACTTCGTCCCATTTTTTGCACAGGACTCTCGCGACGGCACACGCGCAAGGGCGTTCGACAGATTTCGACATGCGCGCGCGAAGCCCGTTTGGTTGCACTTTGTGAAAGTATTGCCATTGTTTTCTTAAGATTTCGCAAGAGCTCGCGCGTAAGTTTTTTTAGCAAGTCAGTGTTGCGAAATCCTGTGTTTTTGTCTGTTTTTTTGGGGGGGGAACTCGATTGCGAAATCCTTCCGGCACCGAAGGTTTTTGAAGGATTTCGGCATGCGCGCGCGACGACTCGCGCGCGCGCACTTCGTCCCATTTGTTGCAAGGAATTCGTGGAAAAGTGCTATGTTAGAACAAAAATGTCACCGCATAGTGTTTTTTACAAGGGAACCTCAGGGGGGGGAACCCGGCCCCCCGGGGATATTGTAAATTCATATTTAGGATGGACATGTGGTCAGAAGCATATATGATTTACATACCCGAAAGGGGGGCCGATAACGCCGGGGTGGGGGGTAGAGTCTACCCTGCACCGCGCTTGACCACCTCCACTGCTCGCGCAAACATCCCACCCTCCCACCCGCAACTTGTTTGCAAAATCTCTTAAGACCGTGACGGCTGGTACAAAATCAAACTTGGCAACGACAGCGACGCCGACGACGACAGCGACAACGACGACGACGACGCCGCCGACAACGACTGCGACGACACCGACGACGTCTCCAACGACTTCGACGACGCTTACAACGACGACGACGACGACGACGACGACGACGACGACGACGACGACACCGACGACGACGACGACGACGACGACGCCGACGCCGACGCCGACGACGACAACAATGACAACAACGACGACGATGACCGACGCCGACGACGACAACGACGACACCGACGACGAACGACGAACGACGCCGACGACGACGACGACGACGACGACGACGACGACGACGACGACGCGCCACGAAACGACGACGACACGACGGACGGACGACGAAGACGACGACGCCGACGCCGACGACGACGACGAAGACGACGACGACGTCGCCAACGAAAACGACGACGAGGGAGGAGGGAGGACGACGACGGCGACAACGACGACAACGACGACAACGACGAGTCAGGAGGGAGGACGGCGACGACGCGAACGACGAAGAAGGAGGAAGGACGGCGACGCCGACGACGACAACGACGAGGGAGGAGGGAAAACGACGACGACGACGGCGACGAAATAGGAGGGACGACGACGAGACGCCGACGACGGACGACGACGACGACGACGAGGGAGGAGAAGGAAGGACGACCACGGCGACAACGACGACGGAAACGACCGCGACGCCAAAGAGGACGACGACGACGAACGCGAGGGAAGACAAAGGACGACGTAGGCGACGACGACGACGACGACGCAAGAGCGCGCGCGCACGCTTTTGTTGAAAATCCGTGTTGCGAAACTTTGTGTTGTTGTAGGTTTTTTGGGCACACGATTTTGATATCCTTCCGAAACCGATGGGTTTTGAAGGATTTCGGCATACGCGCGCGACGACGCGCGCGTCTGCACTTCGCCCCATCTTTTTGCAGAGGATTCTCGCGACGGCACACGCGCAAGGGCGTTCGACAGATTTCGACATGCGCGTGGTACCATTTTTTGAAAATCTTGAAAACCTGTTTTCTTAAGATTTCGCAAGAGCTTGCGCGTAAGTTGTTTTAACAAATCAGTGTTGCGAACCCCTGTGTTTTTGTATGTTTTTTTTGGGGGGGGACTCGATTGCGAAATCCTTCTGACACCGAAGGTTTTCGAAGGATTTCGGCATGCGTGCGCGACGACGCGCGCGTGTGCACTTCGCCCTATTTGTTGCAAGGGATGAGTGAAAAAAGTGTTATGTTTGTTAGAACAAAAGATGTCCCCGCGTATTGTTTCTTACCAGGGAACCTCCGGGGGACCGATCCCGGCTCCCCTGGGATAGTGTTGATTCATATTTAGGATGGACATGTGGTCAGAAACATATATGATTTACATACCCGAACGGGGGGCGGATAACGCCGGGGGGGTAGAGTCTATTCTCTTTTTAGAAAGGAGAATCAACTCACTTTGTGTTCTGCATCGCGGGCATCTACCTCCCGAAGTCTTTCGGAGCGTGTTATCTTGCAGGATTGCGGGCCTATTCAAAGGAGGAGAAGATACCAAACCTATCTCGGTGGGCAGGGTCTTATTACTCATGTGGCTCCGAGTTTTTGCGGGATCCGCGCCTACACCACAGAACACATGGGCGAATCGCAAGCACGTCTCGGACACCCACGCTATCAGCCAATAATTATCTGATTGCGGGATGGGCAAAAACGGCTGCGAATTTGACCTGGACAAAGCCTACGACAACCTCGACCGCGATATTGCAGGTGCTAGTATGGGAGCATCGGGCAATCCTGCAGTTGCTCGCTTCACGTGTGCTGCTTGCTGCCTGGGCGGGCCCTCGCCACTGCAGCCTCAATGGAGAGACTGCGAAACCCATCGTTGACCCGTTTAGAGGCTTACCACAGGGCGACTCCATTGCACCCTCGGTCATGCGTTCTACTCTGACACCATGTAAACCACACGGATTTTAGGGATGCTTTATGGACGATCATCACTTGGTCGCCTCGCCTCCAGAGGCCTTGCAGGACGATCTTCGCACGACGACGAAGTTCGAAGGACGATTTTACATCGGACGATCTTCGCACGACGATCTTTGCACGGACGATCTTTCATCGGCTACAAGGAGACCGCTAAGAAGAGACAGTGTTGGTCATATCAAGACAACCCGCCACGAGAAGTTACACGCCTGGGCGTTCTAGCTCGCCCTACAGATACTCAGTGGGATATCATACCACGCTAACGGCTGGATAATCCGCACGTGTATCGTTTTCGCCTTCACACGACCCTTGTGGACATGGCTTTCAGCTGTGACAGCTAAACGGTTTGCGAATTGATTTGGGGGACGGAGACAACATGGTGGTGTTTGGGCCACATTCGAGCTCGTATTTCGCGCTGAAGAAGCTGAAGGGCGAACGAGTGGTGTGGCCGACGTTCTTCGAGCATTCAATGAGTTCAATGCAGCGACATGCCACGGAGTTGGGGCCCAGCTCCATCATACTCTCTGAACAATGCGGGACCTTGGTGGAAGTCTCGGCCACACATGATCACCGAGTTCACCAGATAGTGGCCAACATAATTGGCGGAGAGAGTAGGTTCTGGACGGGCACGGACAAGGCTCAGCACATTTGCGCTGTCTAGCGCGGACCAGTTGCCTGCAGGCTGCGTTGAGGATCCGCAAAGATGCAGATGACATTGACGAGGTTGATGTGGAAGCCTGTTGCGGGAAGAAGTTCGCTAAGTGGTACCAAGCACTTGATGATCAGGAACGCTTTTATGTGTTCATGTATCGGAGTGGTGCTGTTACGACCGAGACGAGGCGACAGATTGGCCGCAAGTGTAAGTTGCGTGATGCTTTGTGGACCTCCATGCGACATCTTGTCGTTGAGTGCCCGCGCTCCCGAGATCCCCGAGATCGCTTAACGCTTCAGTCTGTTATTCCACCAAATTTCTGGACTTCTCTCCCGAGAGTTTCGGCCAAGAGTGTGTGGATCACTGTCGTTGCAGTCGAGGGTGCTCAGGACCGCTCCAGGATGCTGATCGCGCTTTGTTCAGTGGGCATCGGTGTGGTGAGCCTGGGTACGGATGCAATACTTCACGATGCAGCTCTTCTTCCTCGTGCTGGAGCTCGCCGTGATCTTAAATGATTACCAGGTGTGGACCTACTCCATCGTCAGAATGCTCCACTTCACCAAACTCCCGTCATCAACGTCACCACAGGAGGCTTCGTGGCAGGGTCGATTCGGCGGCGCCGCCGGGGCCCCTCACTTCGCTCCAGGAGGAGGAGCAGAAAGAGGATGAAGAAAGGAGGGAGAAAAAGGAGGACAAGGACGGTAAGGAGGAGGAGCAGGAGGAGGAGGAGAAGGAAGAGGAGGAGGAGGAAGAGGAGGGGAATGAGGAGGAGGAGGAGGGGGAGGGGGGAGGGGGGGGGAGGGGAGAGGGAGGGAGGAGGAGGAGGCGGGGAAGAAGGAGGAGAATCGCGCGCCACCGAAGGGAGAGGGAAGCGCGAGAGATCCTGTGTTCAGCCACAGGCCCCTGGGGGAGGCCCCATCGCAGAGGGTCTTTCTTCCACCACGGAGCGGCTTCAGCGGGCCGCCCCGTGGGCCCGCGACGGCCTCCCCCCCCTTCGGGGTAGAAGGGGCAGCCGGGCACTCTTCGTCGCCGAGGCCGCAGGCCTTCCGCTTTCGGACCCTGCGCACCACAAGAGCGGAGGGATGCAGAGGAGGAGGAGGAGGAGGAGGAGGAGGAGCAGGAGGAGGAGGCAGAGAAGGAGGGGGAGAAGCAGGGAGAGAAGCAGGAGGAGGGTCTTGCCCTTGTGCGGCCCCGGGTGCCCGGGGAGCTTCCGTCGACACCGAGTCGAGCCCGCTCTGCCCCGACCCTCTTCCCGAGCACAGGCATCGACCCCCTGGCCTCCCCAGACATCCGACGTCGCGATTTGTTCGCAACGTAGCTCCCCAAAGATCTGGACCCCTTCCAGTGGACCAGCTTTTCATCCTGAGTCGTTCGTTCTTTGACGGTCCCAGGGCTTGGCGAGGGCCCCCACTGGCCGAAAGTAGCCAAAATTATTTTGCGACGTACCCAGCTGACCTACAACGACTGAGCCGAACAGTTGGCCAAAGTTGTTACGAATGATCCATGTGTCGTAAGAGCTGCATGGGAGGCTCGCGCGTCGCGGGACTCACGGGACACCGACAAGAGGGCAAGGGCGGGATGGACGGAGGGAAACCCTAGGCCCGAAGGGAAAGGAGCGGGAACGAAGCGGAGACGGAGCAGCGGCAGGAGGAAGGGTACGTAAGGATGGAGAATACGACGCTTCCACCCTGACTCGCGAGCAGCGGCGCCCTGAGAGCAGCGGTTCATACTGAGTGCAAGAACTGAGCGAGGCCGCGTTCCATTGCCAGCCGATCGGCCTCCCTCCTGCGTTTGTCACTGCGGGAGTTAAACGCGCAGCCGCGCCGCCAGGTTCGCGGGCGGCCCGCGGGCAAGAAACGCCAGCCCCGGGTCCCGCATCATCACGATATGATCGACCGCCGTGGCCCTGGAAAGCATCACGTGAAGACGCAGCCACACTTCACATGCGGCAGCCGCCCAGGCATGGTGAGGTCGAGTCTGGATCCCCGTAGAGCCCCAGTACGTTGGAAACCCCCAGCAGCCATCGACAGCGGCGATGGTTTCGCAGACCCCCTAGGCATGGCGAGGTCGAATATGGACCCTCGTAGGACCCCACGAGGGTGGACCCCCCAGCAGCCTTCGAAAGCGGCGGCAACTCAGATTTCGTAGCCCCCCAGGCATGGCGAGGTAGGAGGCAGGTGGGAAGTAGTGGGAAGAGTTGACAGATGAGGAGGGAAGCGGGCGACGGAGAAAATGAAGAACAGGATGCTGTGCTCAAATGAGGAACCCAACGGAAGCTCGGGAAAAAACAAAGACAGCAGGAGGGAGGCGGGAGGAAGAACGAAGGCTGGAGACCGTCACAAGACCCCCCACGGACGGACGGGAAAAACCCGGGCGCCGTGATGCTTGCGCAACGCGAGGGTGTCTGGGACGAGGGCCGCTGGCGGAGGGGACGGCGGCGCGGCCCGCGCCCACGAGGCGCGCCACCGGAGCTTGCTGCCACCCGTCTTCGGGCGCGCGGGCCACCTCGCCCCGGCGGCCCCCGAGTCGGCGCCGGGCAGCGCCCGGCCTCACCGCCGGGTGGCCCTGGCGGCGCCGGCCGGCTTCGACGACCTGCCCGGCCCGGCGCCGCCCGCGGGCCCCTGCCCGCCCGCGGCGCCGGGCAGCGCCAGGCGCTTCCGGCCAGCTGCGAGGGCGGGCCGGGCCGTTGCAGTGGAGGCCAGCCCGGGCGCGGCCGCCGAGCCGTGCTGGCCCGAGGAGGACATCGGTGTGGGCTTCGGCGAGCCGCAGCCCTGGGACATTGAGGTGGCGGCCCTGCTGGAGAGGCCCTCGTATCGGGCCGCCTGGCGGCATGCGCCCGCCTCGCCCCAGCACGCTTCCTCTGAGTTGCAATTTTCTCGCACCCTGCTTTTGCGCCCCGTTTCGGGCCTCCTCCTCCTCCTCCTCCTCCTCCTCCTCCTCCTCCTCCTCCTCCTCCTCCTCCTCCTCCTCCTCCCCCCGGGGCCCTCACGGCTCGACCCGGTCCAAAAAAGTGCAGCAGAGGTGGGGTTGCGGTCGCGAGTTTTCGCGAGGATGCTGTGTGTGTCGCAGCGTCGGATTCGCGGTACGGGGGATCGTGGGGGTGCGGAAGAGGGGTGCATAATGGCGTGCTCTGTTGTATGATGTTGCTTGCGTTGTGTTGTATGTTGTGCGGCGTTGTGGATTGTCCTGGTGCGAGAGGATCGCACTGAGCGACGAGCCACAGCCCCAGTGTCATGTCTCCAGCATTACATGGCAAATCCGTGCAGGAACCGCTACAACAAGAATATGCTTGCAATGTACCGCTAGAGGAAGTATTGTGTAATTCGCCACGAAGGGAATCATTTCGAAATCCGCCACTGAAAAGAATCCACTTGCAATCCGCAACAATAGGAGTCTTGTTGTAATCGGCCTCAAAAGGAATCCTGTCATAATGTACCACACAAGAAATCGGTTGGTAATCCGTCACATGGGGATTCCTTTGTAGTCCGCCACAAAGGAACCCTGGTGCAATCGCCTCGGAGGAGAGGGAGCCCTCCAAAAAAACAGATCAGCCAGCGTTGACTCCAAATAGATACGAGGACAGGAGGAGGACGAGAGGAGGATGGGAGGAGGACGAAAGGAGGACGGGAGCAGGACGGGAGGACAACGGGAGGAGCAAAATCAAGCAAGCGCAAGCAAGCAAGCGGAAGCAAGCAAGCGCAAGCGAGCAATAACAAGCAAGCAAGAGCCAGCGATCAAGTGCAAGCAAGCAAGGGCAAGCAAGAGCCAAGCAATGCGAGAGCAAGCACGCAAGAGCAAGCAAGCAAGTGGTCCATTGAAAAAGGGGGGGCCATTGGAAGAAGGGGGGGGCATTGGAAAAAGAGTTGGGGGTCCAAAGACCAATTACTTATGATTTGAGCTACGAACTCTTAAAGGGCAAGCGCAATTGAGAAAATATATAGGTAGGGGGGGGGGGGGGGGGGGGGGGGGGGCGGGGGGGGGGGGGGGGGGGGGGGGGGGGGGGGGGGGGGGGGGGGGGGGGCGGGAGGGGGGGGGGGGGGGGGGGGGGGGGGGGGGGGGGTGGCAAAAATGAGATCTTCAGGGAGGGATCGGAAAATATGAAAAAATGGTAGGGTGGCATGATACAAGGATTCCATTCGTGACGGAATACAGAAGGAATCCCATCGTGGAGAATTATTTCCTTGTGTGACGGATTATAAGAGATTCTTGTTGTAGCGGATTACAAAGGGGTTCCTTATGTGGTACATTACCACAGGATTCTTCTGAGGTCGACTACAAAGGATTCCTATCGTCGCGGCTTTCGAACGGATGTTCTGCCGTGGCGGAATACGCAAGGAAATTGTTTGAGGCCGATTAAGAATTCCCCTTTTGGCGGATTACACAAAGATTTGTTCTGTGACGGATTACTAGAGGACTCTTGTCTAGGCCGGTTACACAAGAATCCAATGGTCCTGGATAACATAAAGATGCCTCTCTCAGCGACTTGCAGAAGGATTATTGCATTCCTTCTGCGGCAGCTTCTAAAGACGGATAGTAGTGCCCCGTCTTGTGATGCATCTGTCTTGTTCGTTTTCGTTTTTGTCATACGCTCCCCTTTCTCTGTTCAGTTCCGCTGATTGTCTTCTTGACCGCGTGTCCATGATCCGACTCATCATGTGAAGAGTCGCCTCATCTCAATGCGTTGGCCCACCCAACGCTGACCGACAAGGAGGACCTCGCACGGAGATTGAGAGCGACGACGATACTAAGTATCAAATCACGGGCAACGGGAGAGAGAGAGAGAGAGAGAGAAAAACAAAAAAAAAAAAAAGAGAGAGAGAGAGCGAGAGAGAGAGAGAGGGAGATAAAAAAGAGACAGAGAGACAGATTGAGAAAGAGTCAGAGAGAGGGAAAGAATGAGAGCGATGTGGCAAGTGAGGAGGGGGGAGGGGGACGGCAGGGATAGAAGAAAGATGGAAGAGGGTAGGAAGTGGAGTGGAAGAGGCGCGAAGAAAGCGCAGGAGGGAGAGAGGGGAGCAGGAGGGGAATGGAAAAAGGGGCGGGAATGGAATGAGGACGTAGAAGAAGAGAGAGAGGAAGGAGAGTGGACGGATGACGGAGACCGGGAGGTCACTGGATTTGGGAATTTTGTAGTGGTCCGTATGTTCAGACCATTTCTGCGATCCATAACGAGCGAGAGAGGTGTAGCAGCGAAGGCATAGAAACAAGTGAATGGGAGATACAGCCGGACAGGAAAGCGATGATGAGAGCCCAAAAACGCGCCCCCACATTCCTGCGTCCTCGAGTACGGAGGGTCTGCTGCGCGCGCGTGGAGATGTTCGAGAAGGCACGCTCCAGAACGAGCCTCGACTTCGAGGAGTTGAAGGAGTCGACATCTCTTTCCAGCGAAACGCGGCGGAAGGCCGGAGGAAGTAAAACAGGGGGGGTCTACCAGCGGAAGTTGGCGGAAGCAAGACCGAATGACCTTCCGAAAGGGCAATTCTGGAGGAGATCCGGGCTTCCTGGAGCGGGCCATCTGGGCCTCCGTCGGTGTGGTGGCCCGGCCTCCATCCTCTCCGCAGCCACGGGAGAGCGCGGCGGGGCACCACGGACTCGCGGCCCGTGCTCCAGGGAGCAGGGCGAGGGGCCGGCGGCGGGCGGGGCAGGAACGGGAGGGGCCGGCAGCACGCTCTGCAGCCCCCCTGGCGAGCTGGGGGGCCGGTGGACCGGTTCCGCGCGCCAGCGGGCAAGCGGCCTCTCCCGCCGGTCTTTCGCCGGATGCGCTCTGTCCCAGCCCAGGAGGCGCATCCAGGCCAGGCTGCGGCGGTGCAGCTGCGGGCGGGCGAGCGGGCTCTGAGCTCTGACCTCCCCAGAGCCACAGAGGGGGCTCTTCCTGCGCGGAGGCGGCGGCACCCGACGCAGCTTCCCGCATGGCGAGGCTGCGTGAGACGCCGTCGGCGGAGTTCGGATCCCCACGAAGTGTCGCCCCCCCCCCCTCCACTGGCTTGGCCCCGTAATCGATAATCCCCAGAGCGTGTGTTGACCCAACGTGTGTTTGCCCCGCTCGGATCAGCCGACAGCGCGCAGCCTGTGTCGGCCCTCACTACACCGCCTGCGTCGTATTGAAGGGTCTACGTGTCCTCCTCCTCCTCCTCCTCCTCCTCCTCCTTCTGCCTCTTCTATTCTCTGTGAGCAAGCTCCTGCTGTCTCCGCAGCTTCTCTGCCCAAGTGCCCCCCATCGGCCGCGCGTGCGGGCGCCTTATGCAGGCGGTCGCACAAGCGGCTCTCCAGGGCGCTGGGGAGATTTTGTTCAGGGGGCTGCGGGCCGCGCTCTACGAGCGGCTCGTGGCTGCCCCCCTCTCTGTGCTTCAGGACCAGGGGCCTCCAGCACCTGCCTGGTCCATCCTGCAGGCGGACTCGTCCGAGGGCGAGGGGGCCTCCTGCCCTCTCCCTTCGGCGGGTTCCACCTGCCCCACCGTCTGCCTCGGGCTGGCGGTGGACCTGAGCGGCGGGGTCTCTCCCTGGCTGCTCAGCA